TTGCCAAATGTCCCCTAAGGGATGAAATCACCCCCAGTCAAGAACCACTGTCCTAGAAATCAGTCAACAAGGAACCAACCGCAGGCGGCTTGTGCTGGGGACTTGCATGCGAATGCTACTTCATGGGGATGCAGGAGGACAGACCCGACAGTTATAAAACACTATGGTAGAAGTACTGCACTAGGGGCCGGCCCGCGGCTCACTCGGTAGAGTGCGGTGCTGATAACACCAAGGCCGCGGGTTCGGATCCTATATAGGGATGGCCGGTTTGCTCACTGGCTGAGTGTGGTGAGATCCCCTTACCGGTCATCTTTTAAAAAAAAAAAAAAAAAAGAAGTACTGCACTAGAGGTACTATGTAGGCTCCTAGGAGAACACCTACGAGAGGCAACAAAGCCAGCTGGGCACAGGAACAGGAAAGGCAAGAGAAGACTTGAGGTGTCAGAAGAGGTTTGCTTCCCAAGATCTGCTGCCTGAAGCTGAACGCTATGTGTGAGTTACTCAGGCAGAGAGGGAGGAAGTACCTTCCAGAGAGAAGGAATAGGAGGACCAAGAATATGAGGTCAGAGAGAACAGAGGACATGCAGGAAAATCTCTGAAAACGGCAAAAGGCAAGGCTGCAGAAGAGTCTTGCCGACCACAGCAGGGCATTTGGCTTTGTTCTGAGGCAGCAGGAAGCTGCTGGCAGTTTTAAACAGGGGCTAACAACACCAGATATTAATGTGGATTGATCATCCAAATAACATTCTGAGGAACAGACTATATAGTGGAAGATGGAGGGAACTCACACCAGCAGGTAAGGAAGGCTCTTCCATAATCAGAGCAAGACATAAAGTGGATCCAAGTGCTAGTGGAACTGGAGAGAGGCAGACTTGAAAGAAAGCAAGGAAAAAGAGGCAACAGCACTTGAGGACTCTCAGATGTTAGAAATTAACGTGAACGTGCATTCCAGGAAGACCCCCGGAAGCTAGCCAGGCAAGAAGAGGTGCACTGACCCAGAAAGGGAATTCAGGAAATATGAGGGAGGAGGAGTTGATAATACTAAATTGGGTTTTGATATGTTAGTGTTGTGATACCTGTGGAATAGCTGGGGTAGAACTGACCAACTTGCAGCAGGTCTGGAGTTTTAAGACAGTGATGTGTGAGGGAGATACAGCTTTGGGAATCAGAGATACAGCTTCAGGAATCATAAAAACAGAAACACTATGCAAAGACATGAGAGTTAGATAAGACTGTCCATGGAAAGTATGCAAAAGAAAGAACAGAAAGTCCAGGTTGGAACCTTGGAATATCATCAACATCTAAGCTGTCTTCGGTGAGGAGAGACAGAAAAGTGCTTTGGATTTGACAAAAGAGAGACTGTAAAGATATAAGAAATACATGGAACCTTGGTAAGAATGTGCTTTGAAGGATAAATGGGAAGCAACTGAAAGTAGGAGACCTAATAATTCTTTTAAGAAGCTTGAATATGCATAATTTATTTTCTTTCACAAGTAGAAAGGATGGCATAAAAATACATATTTGCTCACCTATGCACAACTGGCATGATAATGTTGAAGTTAAAATCATGAAAACCACGAAATCCAAGCAAATTTCCTCAGTGAAGAATTTAACAGTAGTAAGATCGATACGATGTAATATGATAGCACTTTAGGTAGTACTTTGGAAATTCTTGGCATCAGTCCATAATCATCAATTTTAGGCACTTTTGGTTTAAGCTACCACTTCTT